TAATTTTCTATTTGGCACGTTTTAGCACTTTTTTATCCTCAATATGGCACTTCATAGCTATGTATGTTTGGCAGCCCTGTTGGCAAATTTGATCACTAGCTGACCTTCACCGAGCGCTCTTTGCTGGGTTCGGACTACAAAAATGGAAGTAAATATCAAGTATTCGTAGTAGATGTGCATTTCTTATCTTTATAAAAAACAATACATTTGTCCTCGTATCCTTGTACAAATAAGGAGCTAAAGCGGCCGTATAAGGGTCGATATCTGTAGACTGGAAAATCGACCAGCTAGTGGTTGAGATGTCATTTACACGGGTCGATTTTGGTTGAACGACAATAATCTACTAGAAAATCGAACCGTGTAAAAGCGCCTTTATCCAGCGAGCATTTATCATTAAAGTTAAAATGCCTTGGTTAAAATTAATAAAAAGTTATTTCATTCTTTTTTTACCGGGACAATTGTTACATCGGTGGTAGGGATGGGTAGTGGGGGTTGAAATTCGATTTTTTCCGAATTTCGAACATTGCCCAACCATTCGATTATTCGATTCGAATTTTTTCGAATTTTCAACAATTTTTTCCACTGCAATTTTAAAAGTTTGTTTGAGAGCATGATACCTCAAATCGAAAGAGATTCAATTGAACTTACATTAATGTGATTAATTATCCGTACTGCCGGTTTCACTAAAGCAATTTAAGTGAAAAATTATTATCTTTTCTGTCAGTTCCCATATTAAATTTAAATGAAAAAATCATTTTTCACTTAAATTGCTTTTTGAAACTGGCTTTTGCCTTCACAACAAAAAAAAAATAAATATCTTTTTCTCAAATATCATAAATATCTCAAAAATGCATCAGATAAAAATTTAAATATTTATCAAATATATCATGTATTTTTTATATCAATTAAAAGAAATAACAAATGTAGATGTATAGAAACTAAGTTCTTGCTTTACAAATACAAAGGAAATTCGCCCATATTTACATAGTTCTGTTATGTTTATACTTATACAACGAATAAAAACCTCTTACATTTAATGACAATGTATGATTTTGCTTTTTAAGGCGAGATCTTTAAGTAAACAAGGAACAAAATAATAGGTCTGTTCAGCAGTGACCATAAGATCATGTGCACATGGTATTGCATTTGCATATTTCGGCGCATTTGTAAATTCACAACGGTTACCATGGTGGCAAGTATATAATTTGCAAATGCAAATACAAAGCCAAGACCATTTTTACAATATCCCGAACAGTCCTATTATAGATTACACAGGTACATCATATGTATACATATATATAGCATTTATGTACTTTAATTTAGTAATTCTAAAATCACATTTTTTATTATATTTTTTATATACCCTTGAGGTCAGCTGTTTAAAATGTGTTAAGTGTTTGAAATGTGGGTTTATATGGTGCTGGTTATGTAATGTGCTAGACTTTTATAGAACAATTATAAACGTTTAACAACCAAAAGAAAAATAGCCAAAACTGGTCAAAATGTCATTTAACTTAAACAGCTGCCCACAAGGTTGTATACATAGATAATTACATATTAAATTCGTGTTTCACACATTTCGCAAACATTATATTTTCAACCGTTTGCACAAGATTCAATAAAAAAAATATACGCTTCATTTAAATCATTTTTCCTTAACACAATGTATCAATATTTATACTGAGAAAAATGAGAATACATATCCAAAATTCGTTAAAGTTTCCATCACTTTTGAAGAATTTTTATCGAAATAGAACACTGGAAATAACTAAGTTGTACCACTTACATAGTTCTAAAAAATCAACAATTGAATGAAAAAAAAATTTTGGATCTACAGTGACCATAAAAATTAGAGCACTTTAATATTTGGACATGTTTGACTTCATTTTCTTTTGTTGGTTCAATGTTCATAAATTGTTTATAAAAAATATATGTAGTTCATTCCTCAACAAATATCATATATGCAAAAAAAATTTCAAACTTTTTCAATTTGTAGCTACTTCAAACTTGCATTTTATAATACCAAAATTGAAACTGCCAACCCAACTTTTTTTTTTTAATTTGGAAATTTTGTTGAATTTTACATATATAATATTTTAAAATTAAGTCAAAACATGTCCAAATATTAAAGTGCTATTATTTTTACGGCCACTGTAAGAGTGGTTGTACAGACCAAGACCAAGTCTTGCGCTAATAGCCTCATATGTCCCACATTTCTTCCTCAATTGACCGCAAAAAATACTAACATATTTAAATGTTCGGGTGAGAGACGGTTCCTCAACTGGGTTGCTATAAGTCCAGCATGTGAAAATAGTCGCTCACATGGGACTGACGTTGCCATAACTGACAAATGTTTTTGGGCAATTGGAAAAAGCAAAGGAAAATCATTTTTCAACGCCTGCCAAGTTGTTAAAGGGTTTTTGTTTAATTTTCGAGAAACAGCTGGCCTGATTAAATAAGCTCGCAGCTGGTCCGAATTTATTTCCGAAACGTTACTTCTATTGCATTGATTGTTGCTAATGTTTTGATCTAAATATGACCATATGCCTCCTTCGTCCGATGTTTGAAGCTCAGCGATACTTTCCACAGATTCATTACTTTGGGTTTGGCTGGTTATTAATAAGTTACCTATTCAAAGTTTAAAAAACAGAAATAGTTGTTTATGATAAATAGGTATTTGTCTAATGTACCAATAAAAGCAGCAGCCCGCGAACAGTAGATTGAGTTTTCGAAGGCAGCCTTCTTGTACCTTGGATCAAGTATTGTTGCCACACCGTAAATAACCACCGCCTCCAAATTTGCGTAACGTTTTTGGACCTCGGTCAACAGGACGTCTTTTGCTATTTTGCCTATTGCTGTAGTCGGTTCGATGATCATTGTTGCCTGTAAAATATAGATTTAGATTTATTTACAGCCAAATTCATTATTAATCATTTTGTTCATCTATTGGTTAATGTCTACAACGTCTACTACGTCATCTTAAAAGTACAAAATGACTCTAGAAACAATTTACTAATTATTTCTTTAACCTTTTTTAATCCTGCAACCAATGGAATGCACTTGCTTATGTTTACATTTTTTTCACCGCAGAGTTCACTTGTAATTTCATGCAAAGGCTTAAGAATATCCGTCACTTCTTTAAGAGCGTCCACTTCTTCAGCAGTGACCATATTAGGCGTGCGGGCCCTCGTGTTCTTATCCATTTGTAGCTGAAGAATTACTTGTGCAATACATGTAGACAATGTCATAAAACGTTCCAGCATTTCAAAACAAGAGTTCCACCTTGTTCTCACTTCTTGAATCAGCTTTAAGTTCGACTGACCGTTGCTTTTTTGGTAATCTCTCAACTTTTTCGCAGCCACCTCGCTCGTTCGAAAAAACTTTACTATTTTCTTTACCTTTTTTAAAAGATCCTTTAGCGTGCCTCCTTCCGTTTCGTTTTCATCATCGTCGATAGCATCGTCATTGTTATTTTGAATGATCGCTTGACCAATATTATTGATAGTGTGACCAAAACAGGTTACGTGCTTCGACTCTCCAAATTCTTGTTTCACTGCGCCTTTGATATTGGCTCCTCCGTCAGTGACAAATGCTATTATCTGATCATCGCTGATGCCCCAGTTATTAACTATTTCACGAAGTTTTTCCTTAAGGTTTGCTATGTCTTTTTTAAAATCAGCTGGAAAAGCCCCAAGCTCCACACAAACCATATCGTTTTCTGTTAAAATTTATAAAAAAAAACAATGAAGCGTATTCTTGTTTTCGTACGAATCGAAAATCTTGAAATTTTCCTATCATTTACTATACAAAAATTTGAAATTTTCGATTCGTACGAAAACCAGAATAAGTCTCAATGTACGAGCTCTTAACAAGTAAAAAGGTAAAAGTGGAATTTTCAATAACGTGGATATGGTTGGAA